ATATGGAGATTATGCATTCCTATGATCACCTTCAAGGACGCTCGGAGATAATATTCATAAGGAAGGTCTTTAATGGGATTAAATCATGGTGGACTAACGACAGATACGATGCTGTAATGATAAGAACGTCACCAGGATAACAGAGAGAGGAACAGCACGATCGGGGGGTAACAACAATAGCACCACTACTACTACCACCCTCATGTACCAGGTGTCGTGGCCGTGTTTAACAGCTCTCGCGCCAGCTGACTCGCCCAGGTGTTCTGGTCACCGTCGGCAACACACGGTGATGGCTTGGACTCCGCCTTGATCGTTTGGTTCTTGGTTTGCAGTCAATACGTAGCCTCAACACGCAGCTTTGATACGTAGCCTTAATACGTAGCCTCAATAATAGCCTCCAAACGTAGCCTTAACACGTAGCCTCAACACATAAGTACAAATATTACAATGATTTACTTGAGAATCGAGGCGTGACAATATTATTCCCGTGATAGATAATGACGAGATGATTCGCACCGACCACCATTACTACACTAGGTGACACTTTGAGCAATATATACTTCACACACATATTGTTTAGACATATAGCAATCATGGGAGCTACCAAGAACACACCACGGGTAAATATACCATCTATAATACGCCATAAAGATCAAAACAATACGTGCTAAAATATGCAATCGGCTGTTGTTGACATAACTGCTTGTTTTCACATTATTATTTTTTCTATTTAATTTTGATTTTTAGGTTAAATTTAGAATCGTATTGTTACAGAAATCAATTTTAATATTCTGATGTTATAAGACACTGCTACCTCACACTAACAGGACAAGAACGATGGCTAGTTTACTTCTTATCTTTGAAAAACGCACCCAAACACTCACTTGGTAATGGAAAAAGATGAAAGTGCACCCGCATACGTTCGTTGGATGAAATATTGGCGTGAAGAGGACCGTATCTGATGAATGGCAGAAATTTCTAGCAATTATTGACTAGCTCTGTGGTTCGTGCGTCCTCCACAACACAACACCAGGATACTGAGAGAGAAGGGCGTCAGGACTCAGGGAATAACAACATACCAATGGCGCAGTTATCCCTCTTCTTACTCCGTTTTCTTTGGTTGTCCGTGAACTTCGTCTGATGGAATCTCACTGATTCTTAAGTTTATCCGTAATATTTTGTTGATTGTTTCATTATTATATTTATACTCATCTCTAGAGGTTAAATGACAACCACCCCCCCATTATTTTAGTGTTAGTAGAGAAGGAAACCCGTGATATTTAAATAATTTGATAGCATAGTCATGGGAAACAAGTGCTTTACACCCCGAGTTTGATCAGGTATTTTAAACTCTTCTGAAAGTTATATTTCTACATACAAAACAACAAAAGCGATCACTAAAACACCTCTAAACCACGAACAAGATGAGAAACATAAACCCATATAGACTGTTGATTTAAACTAAGACTTAAACGGAAAATAATATACACAAACTTAAGACGTCATCATGGAAAATCATAAACAGGAGATACGACCCTAAAAAATATTCTCCTCCCAGACTAACAAACACGATATATTCTACCTGGTGAAGCTATGTAATATAAACACATATATAACTTTTTATAACAACTTAAGATAATAACCTATAACAACCTTGAGTTATAACTTCTCAGAGCCAGGCTACAGGTATAAGTGAGGCGGCCGCTGGGACACAGGTAAAACAGGAAACATAAACGGGGTAAATTAAGACGCATTTACAGGGAATTTAACACACAGGTAAACACGGAGGTAATGGTTGTAGGTCTCTCTCTCTCTCTCTCTCTCTCTCTCTCTCTCTGGTTAGGTTAGGTTAGCTTAAGACAGGTAAACTAAGCCAAGAAAAGCTAAGACTTCACCACACTGACTATAAAAAAATAAATTATTACCTTGTGGTCATATTAACTGATGTCTTAACTCAACATCATCCAGCTGGGGGAATGTGGGCGTTACCTCCTGAAGAAGGTCATCCAGGAGTGTGTACTACCCCCTCTCCCCTCCCCAGGGTCCTGACACGCCCATGACAAGACCTTAGTTTGTTGTTATTGTTATGGGGTTGTTTTTGTTCTTGTGTTTTTGTTGTTGTTGTTGTGTGTGTGTATGTGTGTGTGTGTGTGTGTGTGTGTGTGTCATAATTTTTCCATCTATCTATCTATCTTGGCACTTTCTCTATACACCTTGACTCTTTTGAACTCAGAATTTTCACTTTCCATTATTATTCCTCACACACACACACACACACACACACACACACACACAAACTACCAATAATGTCCTCCCAATTTCCCCAAAGTCCCCAACGAACCCCCATCCCCCCTACCAGTAATCGCATCTACCCCTCTTCCCTCATTCGCAAAATCCAGGTATAATCTCATTTGTCACTTCTTCTCCCCTCCACATAACTACACAAGGCTTCCACAATCCCAGACGAGACGGAAGCCTCAAGGGGAAGCCAAGTGTGTGTGTGTGTGTGTGTGTGTGTGTGTGTGTGTGTGTGTGTGTGTGTGTGTGTGTGTGTGTGTTTTCAAGTAGAATTTATATTTATATACATTCCTCATTTACATATATTTCGTCTTCATTAACTGTTAAATACATATTCATACAGTTTATATGATGTATATTTTTATCAATTATCCATATTTTCGATTTTTTATTCATATACATTATTTATATATATTGGTGTAATTATATACATTCTGGAGTAGAAATTTATATAGTTTTTATTACTAGATTTATTGCGTTAAAATGATCGTCTGTACATCTATCAATGTATATGCAAATGAGATGTATATATATAAATTTAACAGTCAGTCAGTCAGTCAGTCAGCATCCATATTTCATCGCCTATGTTCTGCCAGTACGAGCAGATGACGGGAGAAACACATTCGCCAGGCGCAGTTTCTTAAAAAGGTGTCATTGCCAGGCGTTGCTGATTGCTCGTGCTGGCGTAAGAGTGGTGTTATTACCAGCTTAAATATTGGGTGTTGGAGGGAGGGGAGGGGGGTCAGGTTCAGGAGGTCAGGTTAGGTCAGTGAGTTCAATGTTGGCAAGATGCTGTTTTGGTGAGAGAGAGAGAGACTACCCTCTGACGCCACACAACAACATGACCCCCACAATAAAAACACAAGCACACCAAACAAACACAAACACACAAACAAACACACAAACAAACACACAAACACACCAAACAAACACACAAGAACAAACAGGGAATTTATAACGAGTGAGGCTGAATGACCTTGTTGGAAAGTTGATGACGTAATTTAGGTCCGGAATGTGTAAAATGGTTGGTGTTAATGTGATCAATAGTAGATAATATATGACCATGCATCACTAACGAGGCTCTGTGTGCGTTATTATGGACGTGTGTGTGTGTGTGTGTGTGTGTGTGTGTGTGTGTGTGTGTGAACCCCAACCTTATCTGACCCAACCTGACCCAATCCATACCTAACCCAACCCAGGGTAGTTACTTCAGCTGTGTTATGTATGTATGTATGTATGTATGTATGTATGTACGTATGTATGTATGACAAACGCTCACTCCCCCCCCTAACCTAACCTAACCTAACCTAACCCAACCACCATCACCACCACACCAACCACCATCACCACCACACCAACCACCATCACCACCACACCAACCACCATCACCACCACCCACCACCCACCTACCAAAACAATCAGTCATTGGTCACGATCTGATTACAGTATTAATTAAACAGCGTATCCAAGAGTTCTGATCGGCCAATAACAATACAACAATTTCTACTAACCTGCTCCCTCCACCACCAACCACCCCCGAGCAAGGAAATGAGGCAGTTACGTTACATCAATCAATACAGTTTTTCTCTAGTCTGTAACGCCTCCTGTAACCATGAGAGGAGAGAGGTCATGCGATACATAAGCCTGGATTTCATTTATCTTGGTGGATTATTGACGTTTTTAGAGGGAAATTTGATTGCTTTCCCAGTTCGCTCAGGGTGTGAGAGAGAGAGAGAGAGAGAGGGAGAGAGAGAGAGAGAGACCCTGGGGGGAAAGTGGTTATCAGTAAAGTCAGTCACGAGAGAAGAACACAACAGGGCCGAGTTGTTGAGTTATGTGAAAGACTTAATACCTAGAGGTCTCATACAGCCAGGGTCAGGTGATGGTGTGGTGGAGCTATGGTGATGTATGGTAGGAGGTGTGATGGTGATGTGTTATGGTGCTGGTAGTGTGGTGGTATGATGGTAGTAGTGAGTGATGCTAGCGTATGGTACATGGTAGTAGTGGTGTATAGAGTATAGTGTCATACGGTATGGTATGGTGTGATAGTGTCCTCGCGTGTACACCTGATGAGGGCTTATGGTGACGTGTGGGTAGTGGGTGGGGGTAGGGAAAGCTGAAGGGAGGGAGCTTCGTCACTTCACTAGTAACTTGAAGCTAGTGAGGATAGAGCTTCGTCACTTCACCACTAACTTGAAGCTAGAGTGAGGAGAGAGAGCTTCGTCACTTCACCACTAACTTGAAGCTAGAGTGAGGATAGAGCTTCGTCACTTCACCACTAACTTGAAGCTAGAGTGAGGATAGAGCTTCGTCACTTCACCACTAACTTGAAGCTAGTGAGGATAGAGCTTCGTCACTTCACCACTAACTTGAAGCTAGAGTGAGGAGAGAGAGCTTCATCACTTCATCCTAATAAAGAAATCTTCCAAAATACAGATCTGACAAGATAAAAATTGCATTGTCATTACTCCTACACAACAACAACACCACTATCACCACCATCAACACAACACCACCCTCACCACCAAACCTCACCTACACCACCACCATCACCACCAACACAACACAACACCACCCTCACCACCATCATCACCACCACCAACAACAACACCCTCACCACCATCATCACCACCACCATCACAACACCACCCTCACCACCATCATCACCACCAATACCCAGGTAGGAGGGAAGGTTTACTTACCAGGGTCCTCGGTGTAATAAGACCTGCTGTCAGATTCTCCTAGGCCTTCGTCAGGAAACTCGGAGGTGACGTACTCGTTGGAAGCGTCCTCGTAGCCGTCACCTTCCTCCTCGCTCCCGTAGTCTGTTAGGAGAGGCAAAAAGGGCGTGAGTAAGGGCGTGGGAGAGGGAGAGAGAGAGAGAGAGAGAGAGAGAGAGAGAGAGAGAGAGAGAGAGAGCTACAATATCCAAACAGAATTACAAAACACATCCCTATCGACAACTCCCACAGAACAAGATCGTAGGACAAATTTCTACTTAACTTTTATGAATAACGAAAATATCTTACGATCATTAATACGTTTAGGTTAGTATCAAGTGATTTTGGTATAGTAATGAAGAAAAAAAAAGATATATCGTACGTCAGGCAAGGGGAAAAGGGTAGCGCTGTAAGGGAAAACATATCGTAACGTAAACATCAGAGATAAGTTGGGTTTTAAAATCAATGAAGGAATGAAACTAATTACAGGTATAATTACATTGCAGGTATAATCAAGCATATATATAATCAGATAATTATATAATCGTCTACAGGTAAATAAATCTTAATCACAAATACTACCTTTACTAATTGGTTTAATATATCTAATTAATAAATTAAACAAGAGACTAGTTAGACTGCAGTAGTAAGTAAGTAATTAAGAAAGTAAGAAAGGATGAAATAACATACACGCTTATTATGAGAGAGAGACACAGGTGGGCAAAACAGGTGACATATTAAGAGACAGGTGTTGGAGTGTTAATAATACGTCATTTACCTTGATTTCTTCCACACCTGTATACACCTGTGATTACCTGGTTTACCTGTATCTTGTTGCTATCCTTCCTTCCTATAATTTACATAATTATATTGTAGAGGAACACCTGGTTACTCACTTACTCATTAACCTCTTTCCGTCACTCACTCACTCATTAACCTCTTTCCGTCACTCACTCATTAACCCCTTTCCGTCACTCACTCACTCATTAACCCCTTTCCGTCACTCACTCACTCATTAACCCCTTTCCGTCACTCACTCACTCATTAACCTCTTTCCGTCACTCATTAACCTCTTTCCGTCACTCACTCACTCATTAACCTCTTTCCGTCACTCACTCATTAACCCCTTTCCGTCACTCACTCACTCATTAACCCCTTTCCGTCACTCACTCACTCATTAACCCCTTTCCGTCACTCACTCACTCATTAACCTCTTTCCGTCACTCAATCACTCACTCGTCACCTCTTTAATAAAACAGAACCATTCAGGTATCAACAGCAGCAGCACTCATGGGTGGAACGTGGAGACCGGAAGCACTAACTAACTCCACAATGCTGTACACAACGTCACGACAGACCATCATACACACGGACAACTAAACGGAAATATTCGAACCCCTGTGTTGCTGCCTAACATAAGGGATACAACACCACTTAGCCAACTTACTCTTGTTTTCCTTCATGGTGTTGAGGCTGTGGGGGGGTAGGGGGTGGTGAGGGAGGGAGGGGGGGGGGTAAGCACTGATGGGGGCAAAAAACACCACGTGGCACTGCAGGTGGAATCAGTATCGTCAACAAACACTGTCTCTTACACTGTGTTTAACTCGTATCGTTTCGTCGTGTTAAAATATCCAGTTAATAATGAACACTTTTCACTTTAGCTGTGTTCTATGGGTGAAACACAACACGGTGGAACACTTGTACTGCTTCTGAGCTCCACACACACACACACAGGACCTCGCCAGGCCTCGTGGTAAGCGGCATCACCGGGACCCCTTAAACCACTAGTCACACGAATAGTCCTAAGGCTGGTATCCTAATTTTATCTTCAGGTGGACGAGAGGAGGAGAGCCACACACCGCGGCACTCACTGACTGGCAGAGAATGACTGCTGGAAAGCGTGGCTGGTGGCGCTTATTAACACCCCCGTCGCCAACACCTCACTGGAAGCTCGGTAATGGCGCAGCTATGACCTCCCACATCTTTACCGTCGATATATTTATAATCAATGATATAATCTACGAGGAGGTGGAGGCGGTCGTGTGTGGTGCTTGAGGGCGTGAGGGAGTGACTGCCTGGTTGTGTGTGAGGTGATAGACGCGGCCCTACACACAGGTGAGGTTTACAGGTATCGGAATGTAGGTTATTCATATGGCGCTGCGGACACACACACACACACACACACACACCTCCCTCCCTCCCTCCCGTCCGTCCTTCCACCCCTCACCACCCCTCACCACCCATCACCACACACATCACTCACTTATCAATATATTTCGTTCACCATATTAAAAAAAAATCACATCTCACTATACATCACCACTAACTCACTACACAAATACACAAACGCTAAAATCAATAAAAATTTTTAAAAAAAAAAAAAAAAACATTAAAAAATACTCTTAAACGTGACTGTTGGAGGTTAAGTAGAACGTTAACTTACATACAGACCAAAAACAAAAAAAAAATAAAACAACTAAAACAATGTGGTTGGCCTGTTAACGAGTGTACTGGTCAACAACGTTAGCCTGAATGGTCATTAGAGAGTCAAGATGATGGTTGTGAGTACAGTGTGTGTGAGGGGGGTTGGAGGAGGGGGGAAACTGACGCCATTTTGGGCACTTTAAGGTATAGCGTTTTAGAAGTTATTTACCTGCTTGAGTACGATGACTTAACGTAATGATGATCGTCTTACTCAAAGGGTTAACTCATCACTCAAAGGGTTAACTCATCACTCAAAGGGTTAACTTATCACTCAAAGGGTTAACTCATCACTTAAAGGGTTAACTCATCACTCAAAGGGTTAACTCATCACTCAAAGGGTTAACTCATCACTCAGAGGGTTAACTCATCACTCAGAGGGTTAACTCATCACTCAAAGGGTTAACTCATCACTCAAAGGGTTAACTCATCACTCAAAGGGGAAAAATCGTCTTCTCATCTAGGTAAATCACCGTCAGACACCAGAAGCGCCACCAGCAGCAGTTAACGGGTTGTGGTCATACCGTTTGTTGTCAGGTGGTGGCGGGGCGGGGCGGGGCGGGGGAGGAGGATGTTGACCACACTCCACATTGATGGTATCTCAGAGTGGGTTTCCAGGAAGAGCGAGGTGGGGGCATAGTGAGGATGGTGGTTGTTTAAACGGGCCCCAAGAGTCTTAGATGAATGACTAAACGGGCCCCAAGAGTCTTAGATGAATGACTAAACGGGCCCCAAGAGTCTTAGATGACTGATTAAACGGGCCCCAGTCTTGATAGGGCCCCACGAACCATAAATGACTGATTAAACGGGCCCCAGACTTGATAGGACCCCAACACAGTCTTCAGGGACCCTCAAACGATTAATTAAGTTTCGGTCGTAATGAGATTCAGTCGTATTGTAGTTATATATGTCGGTAATAATAATAATAATAATAATAATAATAATAATAATAATAATAATAAATCGTAGCCAGACGACCAGCTCAAACTATCGTACGGCAGGTGTGAGCCCTTCTGAATAACATTGCAGAGGTAAACACGACACACACACACACACATTTACTCACTTTTCGACAACACTTTCTCGTAATAACACTTATGAAACCACTTTCCCGACAGCTGTCCATTGTAATGACGGAAGTGTGTGTGGTGACTGCCTCTCTCTCTCTCTCTCTCTCTCTCTCTCTTTCGTCCTTAAAGAGAGAGAGAGAGAGAGAGAGAGAGAGAGAGAGACCCCCTTACCCTCCCCTATAATCCTACAGTGTTAACCCTCTCCAAGGCACCATAGAGGATTGGATACCTTATAACTAGATCGTCATCATCATTAAGAGGATCAGATACCTTTAAAACCTAATATTGATCTTCTACTATTTGATTATATTAAGGAATTTGCTCTTGTTGATATAATTTATTGTGTTTATTGTTAGTTATTATTATTATTTATCATTTATTTAGGAGGTAAGTTTGGTTTTACACTACTACTGTTACTACTACTGTTACTACTACTACTACTACTACTACTAATAATAATAATAATAATAATAATGAAAATAGTAATAATATTGACCCACTAAAAATCTGAAAGTTTATACTCAATAACACGTAACCTTATGAGATAATTTTTTTTTCTATCTTTAATAATCTCTTTTTTTCACTATGACTCTCAAGTTCTCTCTTTTTTTCCTGTTCTCTTTAGTTTTTACTCTCTTATTTACCAAGAGAAATGAGTTAAGAGTGTAAAATAAGACTAGGTAATGAGAGAGAGAGAGAGAGAGAGAGAGAGAGAGAGAGAGAGAGAGAGACAAACCCGAAACAACTCAATCACGTCCACCACACCTTCCAACCAGCCAATCAAAAGCAAGAACAAGACGGGTGGGGGTAAACGATTGACTGGAACCATAACTAAACAAATGACGTACATAGGAGCAGTATATCCTCGTGTTTATTTCCGTTCCTAGCGCCTGGGGGTAAGGGAACGGTCATAGCGTCAGCAGAAGGTCAGAAGCACTGTGTCAGGTAGTGTCAGCAGAAGGTCAGAGGCACTGTGTCAGGTAGCGTCAGCAGTGCCGTTATTACGTCTGGCGAAAAGGTGGTACAGTATAGTGTTTTTGTTATAGTCGATTTAGTTAACGAATATCGAAGCTAGTTAACGAATATTGGAGCTAGTTAACGTATATTGGAGCTAGTTAACGAATATTGGAGCTAGTTAACGAATATCGAAGCTAGTTAACGAATATTGGAGCTAGTTAACGAATATCGAAGCTAGTTAACGAATATCGAAGCTAGTTAACGAATATTGGAGCTAGTTAACGAATATCGAAGCTAGTTGTTTCCAAACCTGTGTTTACCTATTTCACGCCGAAATCTAAATTTGTCTAATTTAAAACCATTGTTACGAGTTCGCTCCTGGTTGGATAGTTTGAGTACCTTTGTAATGTCCCCTTTGTTTAACCCTGACTTCCATTTATACACCTCTATCAGGTCGCCCCTCACTCTGACTGAAGGAGTAAGTAATTAGCACAGGTGAGGTAGGTAGGTGAGGTAGGTAGATGAATGAGGGAGGGAGGGAGGGAGGCTGGGAGTAGGGAGGTGAGGGAGGGATATAAGACCACCTGGGGAGTGCCT